CTTCAAGCTCCAACAGGGGAGGTTTAGATTGAACATTAGGAAGGAATTTTTCACAGAAAGAGTGGTCGGGCATTGGAACAGGCTGCCCAGGGAGGGGGTGGAGTCCCCATCCCTGGCTGTGTTTAAGGGCCGTTTAGATGCAGTGCTGAGGGACATGGTGTAGGGGAGGACTTTGTAGAGTAGGGGAGATGGTTGGACTCGATGATCCCAAGGGTCTCTTCCAACCTGAACGATTCTATGATTCTATGACTAAACTCCTGCTTTTGGGGTGGTGTGAGCCAGGCTGAAGCACCGACCGTGACCAGGATGGCATGGGCTGGCCCCCGGGCACGCAGCGAGGGCAAGCACTGCAGGTCCACTGGGTGCCCTCGGATGGACCCCAGGAGGGATGGCTTCTGGTCAGAGGGCTGTGATTGCTCGTGGCAAATTGCCCGCCTTCATCTTCTGGGTGCTGGGCTTGGGGAGGGGCTGAGAGTACGGTGCAAAATCGGTATTTATGCAACAGTGCTTATGGGGAGCTGTACCAGAGAGCGTGCTCCCACAGAAGTACCACCTCACTTGAATTTTATCATTTTTTTATTTTAATTTGACTTTGCAATCTTCTTTTACTGTAAATTATCATGTGCTGTGGGGGACAAGGTGTTGGGCGCCAGCGCTGGCCACGCCGACTCTGCAGAGCCCGACCCTCTCCATTGGGATGTGACCACCCCTTTGCATTCCCAGCTCCACCAGATGGGCTTTGCAGGGGGTCAGGAGCCTGGTTTTCACCCCAGGACTATGTCAGCCCACTTTGCTCCACCAAAAACTAAGCCGAAATTAAGTGTGCTAATCAGAGATACTCCCCTTCTTTGGAGATTTTCAAGCCCCACCTGGATGCTCCTGAGTAACATGCTCTGACAAGCTCTGGGCAATCCTGCTTCAGCAGGGGGGTTGGACTGGATGATCTCTATGGTCCCTTCCAACTCTAAAAATTCAGTGAAATTGCAGTTTTTCTGCCCTGACAACCACTTCTCCTGTCCCGTAGCCCCTCCACCACCTTCAAGAGCCATGGGTACTGCATGTCGCAGGCCATGCGCTTCGCCGTGGGGGAGATCAACAACTCCAGCGGGCTCCTGCCCGTTTTTCTGCCCTGACAACCACTTCTCCTGTCCCGTAGCCCCTCCACCACCTTCAAGAGCCATGGGTACTGCATGTCGCAGGCCATGCGCTTCGCCGTGGGGGAGATCAACAACTCCAGCGGGCTCCTGCCCAACGTCACCCTGGGCTACGACATCCACGACACCTGCTCGGAGCCTGCCAACCTGCACGCCACGCTGCGCGCCCTGGTAGAGAAAGGTGGCCAGCAGGTCCAGGTGCTCCCCACCTTCCGTCGCTACCAGCCCCAGGCGGTGGCCGTCATCGGCCCCGACAGCACCCGGCTGGCCCTCACCACGGCAGCCATCCTCGGTGTCTTCCTCGTCCCTGAGGTAAGCACGGCAGGGGAGACAAGGGATCCTGTTGGCAGGGGAGACAAGGGATCCCTAGTAATGGTCGGAGGGAGGACGGGCTTGGAGCTGAGCTGGAAATGCAGCCCCTGCGTGCTCTTCACAGAATCACAGAATCTTCTAGGTTGCAAGGGACCTTAAAGATCATCTTGGCCAACCGTCAACCTAACTGACAAAAATAGACACCCACACAACAAACAAGGAGCATCATCACTAAACCATACCTCCCAGCACTACATCAACCCCTCTTTTGAACACCTCCAGGGATGGGGCCTCAACCACCTCCCTGGGCAGCCCATTCCAATGGCTGAGAACCCTTTTGGTGAAAACATTTTTCCTAATATCCAGCCTGAACCTCTTCCCCAGGGGCAGGAGGAACTGTGGCTGCCTCGCTGTCCTCCAAAGGTTTCTCTGCACCATGTTTGGCTTTGGGTCCATTCCCTGCCCAGGGCTGGGTCTCTTCAAGAGATGGGCTGCCTGTGCCAGTAGATCCTGTGGTGTCGCTGCCTCGGAGAGTACAACCTCCCTTTCTCCTCTCTCCCTTTACAGATCAGCTACGAAGCCACCTTGGAGACGCTGAGCCTGAAGCGGTTCTACCCCTCCTTCCTGCGCACCATTCCCAGCGACCGGCAGCAAGTGAAGGCCATTTTCCTGCTGCTGCAGCAGTTTGGCTGGACCTGGGTCGCGCTGCTGGGCAGCGACAACACCTACGGCAGGGATGGCCTGGATGCCCTCTACAAGCTGCTGGCCGCCAGCGACGTGTGCGTTGCCTACCAAGGCATCATCCCCCCCAACAAAGATGCCAGCAGCCCGGAGCTCCACAACCTGGTCAGAATCCTCAGGGACGTCAGGGTCAACGTCACCGTCGTCTTCTCCACCAGGCAAATCGCCCGCCCGTTCTTTGAGGTGGTGGTGCAGAAGAACGTCACGGGGATGGTGTGGGTGGGCTCCGAGGACTGGTCGTTAGCCCAAACGATCTGGGAGGTGCCTGGCATCCAGAGTATCGGCTCGGTGCTTGGGATGGCGGTGCAGGAGATCGAGTTCTCCATGCTGGAGCGCTTTAAGTCGTGGAAGGCAGCAGAAGACAGTGCCATGGCTGAATATACTGGCAGGATGGAGGGGGGGGAAGACACGGAAGGGTGCACCCAGCTGGGCTGCACCAACTGCCACTCACTCACCACTGCCCCTGACATGTACGATGCTCAGGCCTCCTTCAACGTGTACTCGGCCGTCTATGCGGTGGCCCACGGCCTCCACGACCTGCTGGGCTGTGCCTCAGGAGCCTGCAGCAAAGGCACAGTCTATCCCTGGCAGGGCCACTCACTCACCACTGCCCCTGACATGTACGATGCTCAGGCCTCCTTCAACGTGTACTCGGCCGTCTATGCGGTGGCCCACGGCCTCCACGACCTGCTGGGCTGCACCTCAGGGGTGTGCAGCAAAGGCACAGTCTATCCCTGGCAGGTAAGAGCAACGGGAGGAAGGATATTCTTTGTGAAAGAGGATCCATGAGGATCTGTCCTCAGAGGGAAGGATCTTCCCCTTGTGCGCGGGGGTTCTCTGTCCCCCTGAAAGGCTCACGTCCCAGCTGAAGAGCCTCGTGGGCTTCAGCCACCCACCACAGGTAAAGCAGCTTGGGTCTAGACCCAGACCCCTGCCCTAGGTCCCTTCTGTCCCTCTGTCACCAGCCCCTCGCAAGGGATTTCCTGCAACTGGGACTTGTGCGGCTGTTGGGGGTTGGAAAGAGGAGCCAGAGCAGAGAAGGGGCTTTCCCTCCAGCACAACTCCCTCCCGAGACAAGGCACTCCTCAGTGGCCCTTCTCTTACTCTTGTTTTACAGCTCTTACAAAAAATCAAGCAAGTAAACTTCACCCTGTCCAAGAGCCACATCTCTTTTGATGCCAACGGGGACATTCGGAAAGGTTACAACATCATCATGTGGAACTGGAGTGGCCCGAGCTGGGCTTTCAACGTGGTGGGGGCTTTCAGTGTGAACCCCGACAGGCTGAGCATTGACCAGGACAAAATCCTGTGGCACACTGAAGATGGCCAGGTATTGTTCTGCATCCACACCTTATTTATTGCTTACTGCCGAGCCAGCTGTGTCCCAAACACCGCCAGTTCTGGGGTATTTCCCCAAAGCAGGACAGAAATGAGGGCAGACGGAGGTGGTATGTGGGGGTGATGTGCTTGATGAGTATCAGCTTTTATCCTTCCACAAAAAAAAAGCAGGGCACGCAAACCGAAAAGGCTCCTACTTTTACCTTTAAACAGTCTCATTTTCCTACCGCCTCCGTAAAAACCACAATGTGGTGAGCTCTTGGCTCCTGCCCAGGGTCTGTCCTGAAAGCTGGCAGCAAGCTGGCTGGCACTCCCTGGGGGGTGTCCTGCTGCCCACCCCACTGGCTGCCTGACCCTTGCTGTGCTCCCCCCAGGCCCCCACCTCACTGTGCTCCCAGGCCTGTCAGCCCGGGGAGAAGCGGCTGCAGCGGAGCCGCCACCGGTGCTGCTTCAGCTGCGTGGCCTGTCCGGCAGGAACCTTCCTCAACAGATCGGGTCAGTACATCCCGGGGGGGCTGCTCCCCTCCCCTGCCTGCACCCTGCTTCCTCCTCCTTGATTCCACCTCGCCATTCCCACATCCTCTTCCCTCCCACTCTCTCTTTTCCTCCCTGTGGTCAGTAAAAGCTTCCGAGCTCACCTGGGCATGGTGGGGCTGAACCCACGGGTATGCAAAACCCTGTGCTTTCCGGGGAGCGCTGCCCGCAGCTGGGCACACCCTGACAAACACCCAGTGGGAGATGGCACCAACAGAGCCCCTTCTCCTACAGTCAGGGGACAAGGGACTTCCGGCCCCACCAGCTGCTTCCTGCACCACATCCTCCGGCAGGGAAATTCAACCTGGTGGTTGCCTTTGTGCCCCAGATGGCACTGGAGGCTTCCACACCACGCGGTCACCAGCAGCTGGTGTATGGAAATGTCCCCTGCCTGAGACAGCGGGGAGGAATCTCCTGTCTCACTGTCACCAGCCACAATGACTGCTTCAAGCTGGAGGGGAACAGATTTAGGTTGGAGATTAGGAGGGGGTTCTTTACTGTGAGGGTGGTGGAGCACTGGAACAGGTTGCCCAGGGAGGTGGTTGAGGCCCCTTCCCTGGAGATATTCAAGGAGAGGCTCGACGAGGCCCTGGGCAACCTGGTCTAGTTGGGGGTGTCCCTGCTGACTGTGGGGAGGTCGGACTAGATGGCCTTTGGAGGTCCCTTCCGGCCTGGACAATTCTATGATTCTATGAATGACAAACCCCTTTGGGGCAGCCTCAGCCCACACTAGGGCTGCGGGGAGCGAAAACAGCCAGCTCTGGGTAACAGGGGGAGCAGGGAAGCCCCCAAACATTACTGTCCCATACCCCAGCCTGCGGAAGGGGGGCTGCTGCAGACCCTTCTCAGCCTTCGCAGGTTACTGCTGGAGGCACAAACCGCTTCCCACCCAAGGGGAAGGAACAGGATGCAAGCAGTGGGCAGCTCTCGCAGAGAACCCATGGGGCTGCAAGGGCAGGGTGCTGCACGGTGACAGATCTCTTACCAGTGGTGTGCCAGGTGCCTCTGTCACCTCCTGGGCTTGTGTCCTCCGCAGACCTCTACAGCTGCCAGTCCTGCAGGGCAGATGAGTGGGCCCCAGCAAGGAGCGAAGCTTGCTTCAACCGGACCGTCGAGTTCCTGTCCTGGTCTGACCCCATCTCCTGGGCATTGTAGATGAGTGGGCCCCAGCAGGGAGTGAAGCTTGCTTCAACCGGACCGTTGAGTTCCTGTCCTGGTCTGACCCCATCTCCTGGGCATTGCTGACCCCCACCATCCTCCTCCTGCTGCTCATGGCAGGGCTGGCCATCCTCTTTGCCCTCAACGCCTCCACTCCGGTGGTGAAGTCGGCGGGTGGGAAGATGTGCTTCCTCATGCTGGGCTCTCTGGCCTGTGCCTGCAGCAGCCTCTTCTGCCATTTCGGGGAGCCCACCCGGCACACGTGCCTGCTGCGGCTCCCCCTCTTAGCCATCAGCTTCACCGTCTTCCTCTCGTGCGTGGCAACACGCTCCTTCCAGATCATCTGCATCTTCAAGCTCAACGCCCGCTGGCCGGCCCTCTACGAGGCCTGGCAGCGCCGCAAGGGGCCGGTGCTCTTCATCGCCACCAGCACGGCGGCCCAGGCCGTGCTGTGCCTTGCCGCCGAGGCCGCCAGCCCTTCGGTGCCGCGGAGGAATTACGGCGCCTGGCCCGAGCGGGTGGTGCTGGAGTGCGGCCCGAGCACGGCGGGGAGCCGGACGGCCGCCAGCGCCTACACCGTGCTGCTCAGCGCCGGCTGCTTCGCCCTCAGCTACGCGGGCAAAGACCTGCCCGCCAGCTACAACGAGGCCAAATCCCTCACTTGCAGCCTGCTCCTGCAGCTCGCTTGCTCCGCCGCCATCCTCTGCACGCAGGGCGTTTTGCGCGGCCGGGCGGCGGCGGCGGTCCGGGTGCTGGGCGCCCTCTGCCCGCTGGGCGCGCTGCTAGGCGGCTATTTCCTCCCGAAGGCCTTCGTCATCCTGCTGCGGCCGCACCTCAACACTCCCGAGCACTTCCAGATGGCCATCCAGCGCTACACGCGGCGCTTAGCCGACGCCTGACCCGCCCGGGACGCGGAGGCCCGACCCCGCCGCCTCCACCGGGCCCTGAGGCGCCCTCCCGCTTCTCTTCCGGCCGCCGCTCCCGTGCGTCACTTCCGGCGCGCCGGCAACCGTCGCTCCCCTAACGCCACATCCGGCGCTGCCAAGATGGCGGCGGGCGGTGGGGCTCGGTAGCGACGCGGGGCCATGGCGGCAGCGGCGGCGCACAGCGTCCGCGTCCTGCGGGAGCTCAACCGGCAGCGCGCCGCGGGGCAGTTCTGCGACGCGACGCTGGGCGTGGGCGGGCGGGAGTTCCGCGCTCACTGGCCGGTGCTCGCCAGCTGCTCCCGTTTCTTCCGCGCCCGCGGCCCCGGCGGGCCGGTAGCGCTGCCCGAAGGCCTGGCCGACACCTTCCAGCTCCTCCTCGATTTCTTCTACACCGGCCGCC